TCCATATTTGCCATATTCACCCTATAGTATATATATCATATAATATATATTCTATAGCATGCATATTCATTTCATTCCAAAAGGACTTTTATTTCATTATCGACAATGGACATTAAAATTTCTCTTAACCACATCCGGCCAGTTTACACCACAAAGATAGTCCACTACCACTTCGGGCATGCCCACACCACAAAGGTGATCCATTACCACACCGGGTAAGTCTTACATGATCCACTACCACCTCGGGCAGGACTACATTTCAAAGATGATCCACTACCACACCGGGCAGGACTACATTTCAAAGATGATTCACTACCACACCGGGCAGGACTACATTTCCAAGATGATCCACTACCATACCGAGCAGGACTACATTCACATTATTCTCACATCACATGTTTGTCATAACACAAAATATCACATCAATGTCATACACACAATAAACACAAGGTATCTGATTGTTTCATCACCATAAAATAATCCACAATATCTTCATTGTCACAAACATACCCATATATGTTCATAATAATAAAGCGACTTACAATTTAGTCATTTTCATAAACATACTCATCTCCACTTTTAACAAATCAACAACTCATCACACAATCATTGTTACAAACACACCCATATATGTTTATAACAATAAACAACTCACACACAATCATTATCACACAACATAACCATTTCTACTTTTACCATTAAACAACACGTCTCACAATCCTTATTACAAACACACCCATATATGTTTATAACAAATCAACCATCCATAACACACCATTATCATAAACAAACCACACACAACATATTCTTCATCATATAACACATTAACGTTAGAACCATCTTTCATGACAGTGTATTACCATAAATGAGCATATTGCGTTTTACTTAAATAAACGTTTTTCCCACACATATATTTCCACTTTTATGGCTAATACATCCTCATGTAAAATAAAGACTCACATGGACCACAAACACCCAAGAGGGTTTCTATCCGTTAACATGCTCTGATTCTTGAGGGAAATCGAAGAAGATGACTCTAATGAAATACTCTAAGACTATAATGGTCTTCTCCCTCACCTTAGGTTGCGTAAGCTCCATGGATCCGCAAAGAGATCCATCTACCTCCACCTCCTCCAACCTCCATTGCTCCTTTTCCAACTCCAAAGTTCACCAATGTGTCACTAAGAAGTAAGAGGAAGGGGTTTTGATGAGTTTTTGAGGTTTAGTAGAGGAGATAGTCGAAATCTATGGGGAGCCGCCATTGGGAGTGAAAGGGGAGAAAAGAAAATGAATCCTAGGTTTTGTGAAACCCTTTCTTTACTTTTATAGTTGGGTACTCTCGCCCGGGCGAGAATGGCTCCCTTGGGCGAGAAGCCCACGATATTTTAAATTTCAAAACCCTGACTCTCTCGCCTGGGCGAGATTCTCTCGCTCAAGCGAGAATCTCACAGCCTGTCCAGACTTCTCTCGCTCAAGCGACCACTTTCTCGCTTGGGCGAGGATCCCAGAATTCCCAAAATTAAAACATTGGGTCTCTCCCTTGGGCGAGACCCTCTCGCTCAAGCGAGAATCTGACAGTATGTCCTATTCTTCAGGACTGTTACCTCATTTTAAGGAGGGTAAATTTAGGGTGTTACACACGTGGCACATCTACATTGGATGGAATGGATTGCATTGCATTGAGGGATAATATCCACATCAAGATTGGATAATTGTTCGGGGTAGGAGAAACTCTCCACGTGGAACAAGAGTACTTTCAAACGCACAAAGTGGTACTTCAACACTTAATTCCTTTTTTTTTTGTTTCTCCACAAGAGTACCAATGACTTCCTTCTTATTTATTTCTTTAGACACTGAACTTATTTTGTCCCCTTCATTATGTAACGAGGTTGAAGAGATGTTCACCAGAGGTGTACTCTAGAAGGGTCGAAGCTTCGAAACATGAAAAATTGGGTGGATTTGTGACCCTTCTGGTAGAGTCAACTCGTAAGCTGCCATGCAGACCGAAAGTTGGGAAGGGGCCAAAAAATCCTTTTTTGAGCTTGGGGGATACCCGGCGAGCCACCGTGTTCTGCCTATATGGTTACAATTTCAACCAGACCCATGCACTCACTTCAAAGGTTTGGTCTTATATATGTTTATCACTTTGAGCTTTCATCCTTTGTTGTGCTTTGAATATGTTTTGTTTTAGTTGAGTGATCAAAAGTTACCTTTGTTGTAGGGATAAGTCCAACTCTGTGTTTATAGCTCTCCCTGATGTGTAATCAATGATAGGCAGTGGTCGTCGGCAATATAAGGCCTGAAATTGTGTCATCTTTGTAGAAGAATGTCGAGACGTGTTATCTAACACCTCCTTTTACTAACACGAAAATTCATTCATTTGCTAGCATATAATATTTTTAATAGATAACATTTCGTTCAAAAATTTCACTTCAACCGGAATACTCCAATAGTCTAGATAACGTTAATAGAAAACAGTACAGTAATTTCGCAATACTAGTTTCTACACCTTGTAGTCTATTAAACTACACCTCTAAAACATAAATGAAAACTCCCATAAACGGGTCCAATATCATCAATTACAATTGTTTAGAATAACTAGATAATACACACTAGATCCATTGCAACGAAATTACTCTAAGACTCTGAGTCTCTTATTCCTTAGCTCCACCTACAATCCGATTACCACGGATTGAGTAAACAAGACAACATAAAGAGATAAGACTACGAAGGCAGGTCAAAATCCATACCACGAAGGCAAGTCAAAATCCATACCATGAAGGCAGGTCAAAATTCATAGTCAAACATACCATTCACATTAGTAGGACTAACGCTGTTAAATAGGAAACTTATGAGATTTCCCGTTTAATCGTGTTCGCCAATTGAAATCCTCCAACTAGTGAGTGTTGTTGGAGTTTCCAATGTCATGATTCTAATACCACAAAGTTTAATGTTGCTCCCTCACCTGAGTATTCACTAATGCTTTGCACTAAAGCTCAGTTGCGTTCTCCGCCGTCTCCTCCAACCTTATGGTCTTTCAACCCAAAACTACAACAATTACAACACATCAATTTATATATCAAAACACTAGTAGTACTAACCAATACTCATACAACATAAGAAAACATCATCTATTCGTTTCATCTTCAATAAAAGGATTTCCCTAATATTGCAATGACTCTACGGTTTTGAAAACAACTCCTCACACACCCATTTTCGAAAAACAACTCATACTCTATGAGTTTTACAAGGTTTTCCAAAGCAAAACGAACCACAATGTCAAAAGAGAGTTTATGGGGTTTTATCCCTAAACATGGAGGAGAAACCCCATTCAAAGTTATGACATTCAACCTTAAGAGAGGCCAAATTAAGCGATTTACCTCTTCTCTGGTCTTTTCCTTGACTCTAAGGGTGCACAACTCTCCCAATCGTTCCTCTTCTTTTGTTTTCGAAAATAATACCCAATTCTCACTTGGGAAGTCTATTTTAGGTTTTAAGATTTCGGACTCTCGCTCAAGCGAGGATAGGATCGCTTAGGTGAGAACCCACGACTCTTCACATCATTTAGGAACTGATGCTCTCGCTCGGGCGACATTTTCTCGCTCGGGCGACATTTTCTCGCCCAGGCGAGATTCGTCCTGTGGCAACACCTCTCTCTCGCTTAAGCGAGCTCCATCTCGCTCAGGCGATAATCCCAGGAAAATACCTGGGAACAACACTGAGTCTCTCGCTTGGGCGAGATCCCTCTCGCCCAAGCGAGAATCACCCAGTAGCTCCCAGACTTCCTAATATCCACTATATTCAAAAATTGAAAATTTTGGGATGTTACATGTTATACCAGTACCAAGACAAGGATAAAAACTTGAACCAATGGCATGGTTGAACACTTGTGAAGCACCGTAGGTAAGTTTATATCCTTCGGTTTACCACTCCTGTTTGTCAATCAGATTCGGGTGTGTTGAATGAGGCTGCAATGGGATGGAAAATCCTAGTGGGGAGGGTGGCTGGGGGTTTGAGGTGGTGGTTTGGGTTGGATTTGTGATTTTAGATCTGAAATCAGTAGTTCTTCGTGTTTAGCATTCATTGTTTGTTGCATAAGTTCTTGTCTGGCAGCAAAGTGGAGCTCCATGGAGGAGAGTTTCTCCAAAATGTTGCTCAAGGGATCCTCTTCAGGTTGGGATGTGGTTTTAGGAGGCATAGAGTTAATATGAAAGCACCAAATGATAGGTTTTAATTACCAGAGAGAGCAAATATCCAGGATTGTGAATAATAAACATAATCTGCTCACAGCAGCCATTAGATCTTAAATACAATAGAAACCCTACTTAGAATACTAGTCATATACTTGACATTATCTTACTTAATATGCTTATTTTTAATAAAGTAGGAAAACAAACATAATTACAACTTTGTAACATAATCATTCATCCATCTTGGAGCAATTTTGGACCTTTTTGAGTTGAGCCCATTTGACTCATCCATACGCTCTATCAATTATATTGGATAGAACTCCTTGTAAGTTAAACAACCAAAAGATTTTTAGTATCAATGACAATGACCTAAGGTGTGTATGGTGTAATGACCTACCAGAAACTGTGGACCACCTATTTTTCTCTTGTCATTTCTCTTATTGAACATGACAACTTATCTATCGGTGATTGGGTCTTGTTCTAGTTTTACCTCCTAGCTGTAAGGCTCATCTTATGCAACATTTCCCCCTTGTTAAAGGTAGGATTCTGAAAGAAGTTTATTCAATGATCTAGATTGTAACGACCCAAATTTATTCTTGTAGATTTACATCATTATTTAAATGATAAAAGTTATTCGAAGTTAAAAACTTGTATTCAAATTAACATTTTTCAATAGTCCAAGTATGATCATAAGGTTTACCACAACCAGTCATCGCATGCAAATCTGTCCAAATTTAATAATGTTATTAGTACTACTACCAAAAAATTATCATACTTTAAAATGTCAATAGAGATGTCTATTGGTAGGTTATCAATACTACAAGTTCTTGAAGTCACATGTCATACATTCCACACACATATTACAGGCAACACAATAGAATCCATATTTCGCGGCAACCTTGAATCTACAATCCTTTTGCTTTACCTGCAATCTAATTATTACACTACACAAACACAAAGGGAGTAAGACATTTATTCAAGTAATATAAGAGGATAAATAATCATAGACAACGGAAATATGAAAATAGTTAAACAATGAAATAAACAGTTTTAACTATCAACACTTACTACCTCGATCATCATCACACTTCACCATGTTCATAGTCCTTACCAAAACTACTATTTCCAGTCACATCTACATAGCATATTTCATACCGTCATCACACGAAACTTACCTTATCACGAATAATACCATGCCAAAAGCATCTCATCATCCATATTCCTTATTGTCACTCTTAGAGTAACCATACCTTGATTTCAATACCTTGACGCCACTTAGGGCTATTACAATACCACATAAAGCAAGACATTCAACACCACATAGGGCGATACAATACCACATAGGGCAAAACATTCAACACCACTTAGGGCGATATAGTACCACATAGGGCAAGACATTCAACACCACATAGGGCGATAAAATACCACATAGGGAAAGACATTCAACACCACATAGGGCAAGACATTCAACACCACATAGGGCAATACAATATCACATAGGGCAAGACATTCAACACCACATAGGGCGATACAATACCACATAGGGTAAGACATTCAACACCACATAGGGCGATACAATACCACATAGGGTAAGACATTCAACAATTATATTCCCAACAATTTATTCACAATAATCCGCCACATGAAAACACATTATTATGTTTTATCCATAATAAGTACAATGCTTATCCCTTACCTGAATGCAAGTTAGTGCTTTGATTCCGCAACTTTGTTAGATCTTCCCTCGTCTCCTCCAACCTTATGATATTTCCTCATCCATATGACACAACAACAATAATCAATCATCTATTCACATCATACAAATAAACAATTTCATACACATTTGTTATTCATAAATGGAAATAGCTCATATTTCAACGATTCAACCTCACTAACTATTCGAAGTTCCAAATATTCAAATAGGAAGTATTTCATTTTCAAAAACACCAATAACCCACAAACCACATTTTTAACCTCATCTTTCATCCATCATTCACAATTATTCCTTTTTGGTATAAGGTTCCCAAAAATCCACACCATTTTCGAAAATAAACCCTTAGGCACGAGTTTCCAACGAAAACCACATAGAAAACGAACCACAACCCAAAAAGGAAGGGTTATGAGGTTTTTACATTAAGAGAATAGATCCATAAACACAATAAAGGTTTTCACAATAAGGGTGAGTGTTAGAATCAAGAGGTTTTACCTCTTCTCAAGCCTTCTTTCACTTCTACACGAGCAAGGGTAGGGAAAACTGCTTCTCCTCTTTCTTTCTTTCGCAAAAGTGTCCCCTTTTTCGTTTGGGGTTCTATTTTAGGTTTCAGGGTTTTGGGCTCTCGCTCAAGCGACGGGGCCTCTCTTGGGCGAGAAGTCCTCGACTTTTCAGATTTTCAAACACTGATGTTGTCGATCAAGCGACAGCTCCTCGCTCAAGCGAGAATCGTTCAAGGTGCTCAGCTCTCCCTCGCTTGAGCAACCACTCCCTCGCTCAGGCGAGAATCCCAGGAAAATCATGGTAGAAACTCTGAGCCCCTCGCTTGGGAGAGACCCTCTCTCTCAAGCGAGAAACACCCAGTATAACTCCAAAATTATAAACTTCACAATACTTAGAAAAGGTAAATTTGAGGTGTTACATGGATGGCTGGAATTTCTTCCCTTTGGAACTGCAGAAATGTCGTTGTCTTGAACATCAAGGAAATATGTATGGAGATCTAGTGAATGATGTAAAGCTCAAGTCTTCAATTTGGATTAAAGGAAGGCATAAACTCGCTAATATCTCTTGGCTCGAATTGATATCTAATCTGATTCTAAGTTTGGAATATTATTGTTAGTGTATTTCTTCTTATCGGTAGGGATGGCAATGAGGCCGGATGAGTCCGGGTAGTGCATTACCTGGACTAGCCCTGTTGCTTCATTTTTTGACCCAGACCCGCCCCAGACCCGTGCTAATACCCGTGGGTCCTTGGGTACCCAGCGGATCCATGGGCACCCATAAATTCAAAATATGAAAAATAATTGCAAGTAATTTGTGCACTGTGTATTTGTTTCCTACGATCTTATACATTATTTAGAAAATCAACAAGATAAAAAAATTATAAAAGTTAATTTAAAGTGTTAAAGACAACTTAGTTTGACTATTAAACACAACTCATTTTACTCAAACAAACATTAGAAACAACTTCAACATTAGGTTGAAAAATTCATTCAGTGAGATGATATTACAATTATGTTGTTATATATATACATATATTTATATTTATGAAGAAATAGCGGGTCCGGGTACCCACGGGTCCGGGTACCCACGGGTCTGGGTACCTCATTACCGGGACCAAGACTCATCTAACAACGGTTTTAAAATTGCGGGTCTCCATTACCCACGGATCCAAAACATGGATCCAGACCCGACCCGTTGCGGATATTATTTGCGGGTACCCGCGGATCCAGGTACCCATTGTCATCCTTACTTATCGGGCTCTAGTTTTGTTTTACTTTTGTTTCCATCTGAATTTTGTTTGTTGGGTCTTGTTGGAGAGATTTATAGGTTTCCCTCTTTTTTTAAATGTAATGTATGCTTTCTATGATGTAATTTTTTCAATTGTCATTAATGAAATTTTACTTATAATAAAACAATACCCTTCAATAAAGAATAGAAACATACATTTCCCTGCTGCATGTGTCGCTTTCCAAATAAAAGGAAAAGAACTTAATCACATTTTGAGGTGGAACGATCCCAACCCACTAATTACTACAACCTACATAGTGGTACCAAGATGATTTCCCTCAAGAATCGTACTGGCACCATAAAAAGATGGAAGAGGATTCGCATGAGGATTTCCCTCAAGAATCGTACTGGCACCACACAAAAATTACTATGTGATGCAATATTAGATGGTCTTTTGGGGCCTTTAGTTGGGGTTTGTGACTGTCTAACTACTTATCTTCCAATAGAAGGCATCTACGACAAAGCAAAAGTGTGGCGGTTAAAAATCCTTACCTTTCCATAGAGGAAGTGATGCCATGATCAATTGTGCTGTCAGAGCGCATGAAGGGGACCTTATTCACAAAATTTCAGCTCTTCCTTGGCGAGGAAACTTGCTTTAGCATCAAAGAGAGGATATAGCAGACCAGGATATGCAACTAAAGAACTTAAAGGCAATGTTGTTGTGACCGGACCGGACCGGCCGGTCCAACCGTCACCCGCTTGAGTAAACGGTCCTGTACATGTAGAAAACCGGAATTGGTTTCCAGCCATTTTGGGCCGTGGAAAATCCGGTCCAACCGGGTTAGACCGGGTAAAACCGGAATAACCCGGTTGGTTAAACCGGCCGGGTTGGTAAAATTAAAAAAAAAACAAAAGAAAATGTAAAAAATGCACATATCTGATGCTTTTAATATTCTGTAATCGATTACGAGTATATTGTAATCGATTACATCATGTAAAATGCACATGTCTAATTAGTTTATCAACATGTAATCGATTACATTGTTTAAAAATGCAAATGATCTTAGTTTCATGCATGAGTTTTTCAAATATCAGTATTATAAATATTTTCTAATTATTATACATATTAATCTAACGTATATTCTAATTTGTAGGTATGATTGAAGAACAAAATATTATTATTGATGGAGGACTTAATTTAGACTCTTTTCCTCAAGAAGATGTAGATAGTTACACTCAAAGTACATCTTTAACCAACAATGTAAACTTAGGATCTAACCAAGACAGTGATACATGGATGAATTAGAATGTTTACTCTCTAAATGAGATGTGTTTTGATTTATTGCTCTAATTATGTAAGACTTAAACTTTGATGCACTTTTATTTTGATTTATGTGTAAGCTTTGTGCAAAGTTATTCACTTATTTTAATTAATTATATAATATATGTATATATATATAATTATATATGATATTATATTATCGTCCGGTCCGACCGGACGGCTTAACCGGTTAAACCAGTTAGAACCTATACAAGACCTCCTCCGGTTTGACGTCCGACTCGGATTTCACAACATTGCTTAAAGGTATCCTTCTTGATTAAATTTTTATTGTTTCGTTTATATGTTTATAGGATTCATATCTTATGATTTATATATTATTTTTTATTTGAATATTCAACTATGTTGCTTGTTGAAGGAATCTTTGATCCAAATACTTTGTCTATTGAGAGGTAAGGATGACAATGGATCTGGATGGGTTCGGATTGTTCATTACCTGGACCAGTCTGTTGCTTCATTCTTGGACCCAGACTCGTGCTGATACCCGCTGAATATACTTCTCGAGGATCCTTGAGTACCCAGTGGATCTGTGGGTACCTATAAATTCAAAAATATTTAAAATAATTGCGAATAATTTATGCACTTGTGTATTTGTTTCTAGCAATCTTATATGTTATTTAGGGAATTAACAAGAGAAAAAATTATAAAACATAAGTTAAAGTTTTAAACACAATCTAATTTGACTATTAAACACAACTCAATTTACTCAAACAAATTTAAAAAACAACTTCAACATTATGATGAAAATTTTATTTAGTAAGAATTCTTCAATCAAATTAACATTACATCTTACATATGAATGAACAACATAATATCATTGCTTAACGACATAATATCACAGTTTAACAACATAACAATCACATTTATGAATTCATATGATATTGCAATTAGAGAATAAAGTATCTCCTCATAACAATAGATAATTTATCTCTTTAAATAAACTAATTGTTTGACAAATATCTTATTTCTCTTTCTTCAGAAAAGTTCATTTTAAAATATATTATAAAAAGATAAAAAAGACACATTTTAAACAACGTGTAAATTTAAGGAGATAAATAGTCTCCTGGTAAGAGGAGATATTTTATTCTTATTACATACTTGCGGTTTTGAAAGTATAAGAAGGATTAGGGACTAGGAACCGGAAAGGAAAAATGTTTACTTTGGGACCTAGGTTTTTTTGTAAAAGATATTAATTTTAATATTTATTTATTAGTAAAAAATTTATTATTATTATTCATTATTAATAACTAATTTAATTAATAATATATTTTTTATTGATTTTGAGAAATAATCGAGTGAAGAGAAGCAGTATAGTATGATCATTCGAAGATGATTTGAGGACGAGAAGTGTTTCTGTGACCCTCCTCCATTTTTGATTAATCTCCAAAATTTATATCATTATAAATGTTTTTATGTAATATTATAATTTTTATTTATTTTTATTATAGTAAAAGGTTTTGAATTTTTATTAATTACAAATTTTAATTAATTACATAAAAATGTAAATAAAATTAGCATCCCAAAAATAATAAAAAAATTTGTTAGTTGTTATCTACATTAGAGGGTTTTCCTTATTTGTTGTTGTTTATTATATAACATATAAAAAAAAGTTTATTTTTTTATTGTTGTGATTAGACCTCTGTTTTATATTATAAAAAATAAATTAGATTATAATTAAATTTTCTTTATTAAATGGTTGTGGTTTAATAGTGTAGCAATAATACAATTAACGTCTACAAATAAAATAGAATCATAAAAAAGGAAATAAACAAAATATAAACCTGGTATGAGCTAAGATTCAGAGCAACAAAGCCACATTGCAACGCTACGTGTCACATCACAGATGGCTGGTTGGAAGGGGCATGGTGCTTCCCATGTATTCTACCGCACCAGATTCCACCCTTATGTAGGTGCGGAGCGATCCTGTGCGTTGTGACACACATGCACCATATGACGTTTTAATGCCTGATTAGTCCATGCAGTGAGTCAACGCTGAAGGTAAAAAAGTAAGCCAAACTGTCGGTCACAATTGGCTAGAAACGATATTCACAATGCTAAAAATGGTTTTGCCCG